TAGTTGAATAGAAACATTGAAATCAAGTTAGTTCATATTTGTGTGTATTTTGTTTAAATCTATGCTTTTATTTCATAAGCTATTTATTTATTTCATAAGCTATGTTATTTATAACATTTAAATGTATACCCTTTAAACATTTTGCTAAGTGTGCTGTAACATTTTCATTTGCTCTAAGGTGTGCCATTGTTTAAGATGGTTGAGAAACACTTCTCTATAGAAATGACTTGATAAGTGCAAAGAGATGGTGTATTTGTATAGCAATGCCCTATGCCACATTCTATTGGGCACCTCAAGGCGGTATAATAGTTAGCAAGCTTGTCTCACTAGAACAATTATGACTGAGTAGTGAGTTCGATCCTCACTGGGTGCCCCATACTTTCGGCCTTGTGCCACATCTAAGCTACACTTGGAAAATCACTATGCCACATCCTATCAAAGGCCTTTGTGGGCTTACAGCTGCATCATGTTGAAACATCAGATCCCGTGAAATCACCAAAGTTAAACAACATTGAGCCTCGTCAGCATCAATATGGGGGACAGCTTGGAAATACCAGGTGCTATAAGCTTGGATGTGCAGGTAGTGTAATGAATAATGGCTTGGAATTGTTAATCAGAAAGTCGAGTTCCAATTCCACTTGGGTTTGTTGTATTCACTTACATGCAAATACTCTCGGAATAGGTATGAATCCACTGCTCCCAGATATAGGTTAATTAGTAAAACTTGTATTACTAAATCATTATTATCTCACAAAACAAAAAAATTCTTACATCCAGAAATATTTTCTGGCTTAAAATAACTTGCAAAGGATTGATAAACTGTAGAAAACAAATTAATCAATCATAGGCCTTCGTGATATCTAAGATGATCACTCTCATGGTGAATTTATTATTGAGTGCGTCACTGATTTTGTGTATAATTTGAGTTAGAACATCAGTTGCAGACCTAGGGGAGTGAAATACATAGTGCTTGTTGCTCAGAAGGTTGTTTCTGTGCAAGGGGATCAACAACTTTATTGCTGATAATAGACGCCAAGATATTATGTTGATACAACTACATGTGCAACAATGAGAGATGTTGGGAATTTTAAATTTCAAATTTTTTTTTTTTTTTTTTAATATTTGTTTTGAGTATAGAATCTAGCTGATTTAATTTAGATTTGTTTTGCTTTTTGCTTTGTTTTTCCCATTATTTTTGGTTATTAAATATCCTTCATTGTGATAACAGAATATCTGTCAAGAATAGTGAAATGTTGTAAGAACTTGGATGCAAATTTACTGTGGATAATCTACCGATTAAAGCACTTTCTAAACATTTTCTTCTTGGTAAATTGTTTTCTTTTTTTAATTATAAAAGCATTTTTTAAATCCAAATTCTGGTCAATCTCATTATGATATTGAGTGTGTTGTTTTGTAAAAGATCACTTTTGTGTTCTATAATCTTTTAATTAAGTTCTTTGAGGTTTTTCCAATGTATTCTTTGTGGCAATTATTACAAGCGATAGAGTAAATTCCTCATTCAGGTTTTAGCCATTATTTTGCTTTGTATTACTTAAATATTTTATTGTTTTAGACATAGTTGTGACAAATATCATATTTAGTTTAGATAAATTCTCCTCAATTGTAATTGTGATAGACTTAGTGAGTAGAACAATATATTTTGATTTGTTGGGTTTTTCAGGAAGAGCAATAACACAAACTGTCATGTGAGGATTAAAAGATGGCATATTTGAAAATGATGAAATTGACATAGCACAAAAAAGAAAAAAACTCTTTCATAATGGCTAAAGGGATCAGATTTGCTAATTTAGTTCTTTTTTCCATTGTCCTTAACTCCTGTAAATCAGAATTTAGTTCTTTTTCTTATTGAGATGTATTATTTTATAAATAAAGAAAAAAGCTAGATGCTGATTTACAAGAATTAAGTGGAATGAAAAAGAGATAGATCCACCCCCCCAAAAAAAGCTAAATTGGCAACAGGATATAATTTCTAATTATTGATATTTCAACAAACATGAGTGACACTAGTAACTTCCAGGCTCAGGAAATTGGGGAACAAAAATGCAATGATAAAGATGAAAGCGCCATAAAAAATAACTAATGCTGAAAATGGTTTTGTTTGTTTTCCCCAGAAAAAAAAACAAAAACATATACGAATGAATATTCACATTTCTAAAAGAACAAAAAGCAAATAATGTTAGTGAAATTTTTCTATTGCCTTCTTTTGTTTCAAAACTTCATATTTCATTGAATATTGTCTAAAATTCTGAGATGGATAATTATTACCATTTCACAAATTACACAAGCAAGTATCATTATCTTTGTTGTTTTTATCACAACTCGTCACTTTTTTAAAATATTAAACTTAAAAAATATTCTTAAAAAAATCTCAATGTAAGATAATGTCATACAATCAGGCAGATCATATACAAGATAAGGATTTTACCAACTCATCTGGAATTAATTCAAATTACCAAAAATATGTAAGAAAACACACTGGAAAGTGCATAAGATATGGAAGATATTGTTTAGATTTAATTGTAAAATAAGATGGTTGAGTGGAGAGATTAATGATATAAGAAACAGCTGGACAATCTCCTCAAAGATGAAGAAGAGACTTGAAGCAACAAAAATGTGTTTCTCCTAAGGATGCCATGGACCAAACATGTGAGCAATAAGGTTTTGGAGAAAATGAAAAGAAAAAGGAAACTTGTACTTAGCATCAGGAAGAAGCAGTTGAAATTTCTGGGGCATGTAATGAGGAAGGAGAGCTTAGAAAATTTGATACTCACAGGACATATTGAGGGACAGAAGAAAGCAGTGTGTGACATATTTGATGGGCTTGGGTAAATGGATGGTAGAACAGGGTTTGGGAGAAATAACAAAAACAAAACTTATGAAGAGCTACAAGGAACAGGAAGATGTGGAGGGCCACGATCGCCTACATCCTGAAAGGATATGGCACATAAAACAAGAAGAAAACTAAGGAGAGTGAGATGGCTCAATAAGAATAATGACCATTGGTGGAGTAATGGATAGTGGCTCGGGTTGAGGAATCAGAGAGCTGGGTTTCAAATCCAGTCAAATCTATTACATTCATTTATGTGCTTAATACCCTTGGGAAAGGTATGAACCCTCTTCTTCTCCCACTAACTATGGGTAGATAGCAAGACAGACCAGGTTCTATAGCCTTGGATGGCAACCTGTCTACTGCAGGAAGAAATGGCAACCTACTGTGGTAAAAAAATCTGCCTTATCAGTCATATATTTTTTGATACATGATCGCCTAAGCATGTATCACAGATGGCACATAACTGACTGATATTTCAGGTTAATGAAATATTGCAAACTTGGGATTGGAGCATGTGCTGACGTTTTAAAATGATATAATCTTTTTTTTTCAGACTGGCTCAACTTTTATGGTCTCAGTTTGAAGGCTTGTCGCTCAGATCTTCAAATTGTTTGGAGGGGGTAGCAAGAAGTAGATATATTTACATCTTATTGAGCTGTCATGATTAATGATTGGTGGTAGGTGGGTTAACATCTTTTTGTTTCTTCTGTCTAGATAGAGCAGGGAGATTGCTAATGGTAATATAAAAATTGAACAGCTAGGGCTACCATTAGTTGAAATTTGTAAAATCTTTCTCTTAAAACAATTTTTCAGGAAAATAGGTTTCTTAAGTCCAGTAGCTGTTATTGCTCTTTCCAGTATTTACAGTCAAGTTATGTGAAACTGCTATATATATATATATATATATATATATATATATATATATATATATATATATATATATCAGTCAAGTGCCCAAGTGCCATAAGTAATACACGCTGGGCCGATCATGCATCTTTTGATACATGACTGACAAGGTAGATTTTTTTCCTGCAGTAGATTACCATTTCTTTCTGCGGTGGACTGGTTCCTAACTAAGGCTAAAGAACCCAGTCTGTCCTGTTATTCAACCCATAGCTGGAGGAGAAGAGATGGATTCATAACTTTCCCAAGGGTATTTGCATGTAAATGAATATAACGAACTCGACTGGAATTCGAGCACAGCTCTCTGAGTTCTCACTCCAAGCTGATATCCATTACACCACAATGCACATCAATATATATATATATATATATATATATATATATATATATATATAGACACACAAATATTAATAATAAAAGTGATAGAAACATGAAGAAAAAGAAGCAAAAAGAAATTGGTTAGATTATATACCCAACAGAAACATTTGGCATTCATTGTCTGAGAAACCAATGCTGCTTTTGATTGAAATTTATAAAATCTTTCAGGAAAATAGGTTTCTCCAGTCCAGTAACTGTTATTGCTCTTTCCAGTATTGATTAAAAACAGGGTAAAGAACAAGTAACAAATCTGACAAGCTAGTGTAAATGGATAGAAAAGATCCACCACACCACAAACATTGTAACAAACCATCATTCCCTTCAGATTCCATTGGTGAGATGTAAGATCCACTCAAGCAGCAGCTTCTCATGAACTGCTGCTTTATGGAACTGACTCCGCAGAGGATGCTTCCCTGATCACTACAATCTTGACCTGTTCAAGTTTGGGGTTAATCTTTATTTTCCCTACATATCCCCATGAACTGTGCCTTTTACTATGTAACCCTCTACCTCAAGAGGCTCTCGAGCCTTCTACAGAATGAACATCATTGTAAAAAAATATATATTATTATTTTCTTTCTAGTTATATGTGCGACACATTTTTGCTTGCTGTTGAAATTGTTCAATTGATGTGGTTTTTGTTTGTTTGTTGTATTTTTTAGCACCATATCAACATCTCTATGGGTTATATAATGCCAAAATCTAAATATTTTGTATGCATTTTTTTGAGATAATAATATTTTAGTGATAAAAACCTTACTAATTAATACATAGCTGGAGGGAGAAGAGGTGGATTCATACCTTTCCCGAGGGTATTTGTATGTAAGCAAATGCATTCATTATCTATTACACCACACGTGCATCCAAGCTTACAGTATCTGGTATTCCCAAGCGGTCACCCATCTAGGTACTAACCAGGCTTGATGTTGCTTAACTTTAGTGATCACACAGGAACTGGTGTTTCAATATGATATGGCTGTAAGGATTTTTTTTATTTGGTAAATCTCTTTGTTCTATTGCAGTACAAGTCTATAGGTTCTTATGAAAGATTTATAGGATTTATTTGTTTGAAGTCGATTTTAATCATTGATCTGAGAATAGATAATTGTTTAGTTGAATGTCATTGATCTGAGAATAGACGATATTTTAGTTGAACGTCATTGATCTGAGAATAGACGATAGTTTAGTTGAACGTCATTGATCTGAGAATAGACGATAGTTTAGTTTTCATTGATTGAGAATAACAGTTTAGTTGAACGTCATTGATCTGAGAAGCGATAAGTTAGATCTGAGAATAGACGATAGTTTAGTTGAACGTCATTGATCTGGAGAATATTGATAGTTTGTTGAACATTTGATCTGAGAATAGACGATAGTTTAGTTGAACAGCATTGATCTGAGAATAGACGATAGTTTAGTTGAACAGCATTGATCTGAGATTAGACGATAGTTTAGTTGAACAGCATTGATCTGAGATTAGATGATAGTTTAGTTGAACAGCATTGATCTGAGATTAGATGATAGTTTAGTTGAACAGCATTGATCCGAGAATAGATGATAGTTTAGTTGAACAGCATTGATCCGAGATTAGATGATAGTTTAGTTGAATGTCATTAATTTGAGACTAGATAATTTAGTTGATCATACATGACAGTCATATGATAATTTAGGCATTAGATCAATATTTTGGTTTTGTAGCATATTAGAGAATTGGAAAAAATGCATTCTTGTGATTGTGTTCAATTTTCTTATTTCTGATACTAGATTTGTTATAACTGAGCAGTACGTGTATCTAGGGATGGTGCAATGTTTTCAGACCTCCACTTGAATGCGACCTCCTGAATCTATGAGATGGCCCCCAATCTATAGTACCCCCGAATCTACGGCACCCCCAATCTGCAATATGGCCTACACCAAAAGTATGATACAGGCCACACTAAATCTATGATACACTCCCCCCTCTCTCTACTACATCTCAATTTTCATTTGGTAGTATTCATATAAAATACAAATTTTATTGTAACCTAATTCTGTACAATAATGGATTATATGCAATAAAGGTTAGCAATTCAGTTAGAAAAATTAAAAACAAATACAATGTATCTAAATACAAATTAGAGACATGTCATGATAGATCATTACCTCTCAAATAAATTAACAATGTCTTGCGGCAATTTTTAACATCAACTTGAGATTTTTCATTGTTAAAAAGTTTAAAAATTTTAACACAATCAATATTATTAATAAAAAATATTGAATTTTATATAATGTTTTTAGAGACTTAGCATGAGTAAAACAAATCCATAGATTTGAGCAAAAAAAAAGTCTTCAGAATGACACCAAAATCCGCAATAATATTTCATCCTTTAATAGTCAGTTGTGCTTAGTTTAATTTGTAACATACATAAATCAAGGCAGAAAAAAAGCAAATGTTGATAAGATTGCAAGGGTCAGAAAGTACTGTCTGGGGCCACCAATCAGGTTAGGCATTCACCCACACCCTGGTCTGCGGTAGTATCTTAGTTACTATATATACAAGGTCTGATGGAAAAGTATCAGGATTGATGCTATACAAAGAAAACTATGACACATATCAATTCAGCATTTAATCTCCTTCAAAATACTCCCCTTCTGAAGCTACAGACTTTATCCAGCATCATTTCCATTGAGGGAAGCATTCCTGGAACTCTTTTTTTTGGGGACAGTGAGCAGCTGCCTAATCACATTCTCTTGGATTTCTTTGATGTCTTGAAATCTTGTCCTTTTCAAGTGGGGTTTAATTTTTGAAGAGGAAAATTTGAAAAGGGATAAGATCTGGGGAATATGGCGGTTATTCGACCCGGGGAATGTTGTGCTTTGCCAAAAATGGCTGCACAATCCATGGTCACTGATGGAACCTCTATGGTCTGGTGAGACAACCAGACTCTACACACTTTTTTCCAAGCACTGCTATAAACAATCTAAGTGAGCAAGAACATTATAACTTAGTGTGTATTCACTACAGAGTCCAATCTGTGTCAAGTGGCTTCACTCTGCATCTTTAGCTCTGTTACCATAGCAACAGTTCCAATACTTTTTGATCATATATATATATATATATATATATATATATATATAATATAAAAGTAGATACTGATGTCAACATTGAGCAGATGACAGTCTGTTTCATGCTTGAACACAATCTTCAAGCTATGTGTGTTGTGTATTGGTTTGACTATTTATAAATGCTATTCAATGGTGCATTATGGGTAACAAGGTCTATTGTGTTATCCTAACACTTTGGTAGGCAGTAACAGTTATATTTCAAATTATTGTTGAGGCTATTGAGGCTATGACAGACCTTTCTTTGAATTTTGTGAAGACACTTGAGAGATATGGTAGAAGCATCAGACCAGATATGACAGCAATATTTAATGCCTGTACAAATGGTAAACTTATAAATCTGTAAGATAGATTCTGACAAGAAAAAATTGTCTAGCCCGTCACAGTGAACCAACTTTCCTAGCAGCAGACCTAACAATTGATTCAATAGAATCATCCCACTTCATGTCAGTGGAAAACCTGGGATCAAGAAGGTGCAAAGATTTGCACTTCTAGAGGTTAGCATGACTGGGTGTGGTCAGACAGAGATCATCATCATGATCATTGTCATCATCCTCATCAGTCCCATGACTGAATGTAGTCAGAGAGACATCATCATCCTCATCAGTTCCATGACTAGGGTGTAGTCAGTGAGCCATCATCCTCCTCCTCATCATCATCCTCATCAGTCCCATGACTGGGTGTAGTCAGAGTGTCATCATTATCATCATCATCAGTCCCATGAGTGAGTGTGGTCAGAGAGTCATTATCATCATCATCATCCTCATGTTTATGTGGGATCAAAGAGTTGTTATTATCATCATCATCATTACTCATCCTTAACAGTAACGTGACTGGGTGGGGTCAGAGAGTTTTCATCATAAATCATCATCATCATCAGTCCCATGTGCACCCGACCAATTCCCTGTACATATCTGGGCTGACAGCCAGAAAGTTTTTCATTCATAAAATATGACCAAGCAGTACAATATTTTGGGGAAGGTCTTCTTGTTTAGGCTGAGAACTTTATGTGTGTGTGTGTATATATATATATGTATATATATATATATATATATATATATATATATATATATATATATATATACACACACACACACACACATATATATATAATGGCCAGCTACTCTCATTTTCTGAGCATACCTAACTGTTAAGGGCACCTAGTCAGACACCTGTTTATGCACATGTGTGCTTGTTCAACACCCACAGGGCCCACCTGTGGTTTCTACTGCAACTATGATGAACAGAACTTAGTTAAAGTTTTCTGGGAGAGAGTGCAAAACCTCTCATAATCAGCAGTTTGAACAACACCAGTATGCCCAAACCCTCCCCCACGATTACTTGTGAGTGACTTCCATCGATAGCTTCTAAAGAGTTCTTCTTACCCACAAGACTTTGAATCATCCCATACTATGATTTTCAGGCAGTTTACAAAGGTGCCACATGCTGGAATCATCTGGGTTGCATGGTCAAAAAGCAAATGTTTTAATTACTCAGCCATGTGGCCAATGTATATATATATATATATATATATATATATATATAGAGAGAGAGAGAGAGAGAGAGAGAGAGAGAGTGAGAGTGAGATAGAGAGAGACTGGTATCCTTGAACTTTAATACCAACATTCATCTTTACCATATCCTTTACTCCTCTGCAAATTCATTACTTCTCATCCTTTTTCCCAAACAGCCACCCACCATTAATGTTGCTAACCTAATTCTTTTGACACCACGTCTTTCTCTTGGATATTTTATGTTGGTTCTTTTGCACTCTAATCTATTTTTAGCATTTCTTACTTAAAGCTTTTGATATCAAAAACTAAATTACCACTATTAAAACTCATATAGTCATCCACACACATGCGCACACAATTAACAAAACAACTGAAAAAAAAATTAGGAAAATTTCAAAAAACAAACAGAGCTAAAAAACAAAAAAAAAGCTGAAATACCAAAGTAACTACTGACAAACAAATTTTTGAGAACTGGTTTTTAGTGCTGTCAAAGGTTTTACAGAAAGAATGCTTAAAACAATGTAGTATCAATTTTTTTTTTAACAAGACCCTAAAAACAGTCCCATCTCTCCCCTACCACAAAAGAACAACATATTTTTCATTTTTACCTCCCAGCATCATGAAAAACATTCCATCACCAGAAAGTGGCAATCTTTTTTTTCACTCAAACAATAATGTTCTTCTGGAAAAAAAAAAAAAAAATAGAGAGAGAGAGAAAGAAAATGAAAAGAAAAGAATTCCTTTCTTTTCCTTCTTTTATTTTTGACTATGTAACTATTATTATTATTATTATTAAACCCACTCTGTGTTATTCTAACTTCATTACAAAGTACCCACTGCTGGTATTATCTTCTCTTCTCAAACAGAATAAACAATCTCTTTCTCAAGATAGTGGCTGATTGGCAAGTTTAGGAAGCAGGCAAACAGGCCAGAAGTAAGTAGCACCATGGACAGATTATGTAAGAAACAAGGAAGTTTTAAGGAGAATAACAAACTTCTGCTAATAATCAGCTAAAATTTCTTGGATACGTAATGATAAAAGAAGGTATGGAGAATTTAACCCTCAAAGGACACACAGAAAACAAGACAATCAAAGGAAAGTAGCAAGTAACTAATTTGATGAATTTTACTCAATATATGGCAGAATAAGTTACAACCAATCTGTAAAGTGTGACGAGTACGTCCGGTACTGTATGTCAATAAAACACGTCCGGCCGCATTCACTGGTCCACTTTATATGTTATGCCAAGGGCAGGTAACTCTGTACCAGCTTGTTTTGCAGGGGCAGATAACTCTGTTCTCATCTACACACAATCAAAAAGGACTTGTGGTTTTCTTTCCGCATCTGTCATTAACACTATGTCA